TATTACTTAACCTATTATAGGTATAGGTTAAGTAATAATTGTAATTACGAAGCAATAAGATGCTTATCTTAACATACTTAGAGGGTTAGGTAAGGTCGGTGTTTTCTATGAAACTTTTCGAGGTAAACTAGCATATTTAGTATGTCACATATGCACGTATTTAATAAGTCAATAATGACTAAGAAAGTGCGAGAACGGGATTCAAGCGATGGAGGGTGTGCGAATAATTTTGTAATAAATAATTATGGGTGTAATAATAGGAATATAAAGGGATCGTAAGAGAAAACAAGAGAAAGATAAATTAAGATAAAAGGAAGTATAGGCTTATGTTAGGTCACGTTTCTTAGAAAGTTTAGAACATTTGAGTATATACTGTGAAAGGTAAGAGTCAATAGCAACAAAACCAGGACTCAGGTTCATGTTGGGAAGGTTGTGTATCAGAGCTGATTACACAAGACGGCGTCTGTGTAGAGTAGAGGCAGGACAGATTATTTTAGAGGACGACCAATCAATAGGATGATTAGAATCCCTCACATGGCAGAAGAGACCATTGTTTGTGTCTGCAGACTTAACACTTCTTTTGTGTTCCTCAAGTCTGTTATTAAGTGTACGGTTTCACCAAAGTATTGGAGAGGACAAGACGAACAGGAAATAGAGTAGACACCAGCAGCATTAGAAGCAGGAGGAGCAGTGTGAACTAGAATGCTACGAAGTGTGTTAGTTTGTCGAAAGGCGAGTTTTATGTCAAGAGAACGAAAGGTATTAGTAAAGGTTTTGAGTTCAGATATGAAGAGAAGGCAGAGCACAGTGCTACTAGTGTTGGAAGCAGGTTTAGGATGAAAGAAATTCCGTTTAGCTTGAGAAAAGGCACAGTTGATAATATATAAAGCGCAGCCAAGGCGAGAGGAAGATTTGTAGATAAAGGGAATTTCAGAATCAAGAAACTGAGGGTCGCTGATACGTAGAGCTCGGAGGGAGAGAGAGACGAGGACACTTTTCTTAACATAAGGAGGATGGTAGGAAAAGAAGTGAATGTACATGCCACTATGCATAAGTTTGCGGTAGACAGAGAAAGAGAACCCGGACACAGAGCTGTGAACGTCAAGAAAGGGAAGGAGGGAATTAGATTCCCATTCAACTTTGAAATGTATGGAATGAGCTAAATTGTTAAGAGGAGAGAAAAGGCTGGAAAAGACTAATGTCATGAGGCCCTTTTGCTTTATGGACTCAATTCTCTCTCTCTCTCTCGTCTGGAAAAATAAATTTCCCATTAACTGGGAAAAGGGTTTCTCTGGGAGCATCAGAGATTTTTACTGTTGTACAAGTACCTTTTCCTTGAAGTCAAAACTTCATTTGACTAATTCTGGGACTTGGTTTGCCCTTTTATCATTGCGATCACCACCACCTCTTGGTAGATGTGACATGCAGTGAGCTCCAGGGGTTAAGTGAAGATCAGCGGCTGCTTACTTAACGAGACTGACGGAGACTTATTACCGTAAGTGGTTTCTTTGTATTTCAGAATTTTTTTGGTCCCAATTCGCAAACTAATGCAATCGTTTGCTACGCTGCTGGACACTATTCTTAAACACTGTGCCTGGAGCTGGTCTTGCCTCCCTAACTCATTTTGTATATTGTATCCACACTGTGATGTTGGTTTGTCTCACGCCTTTTATGTGGATGAACCATGTTACTAATTAACTCCCTCCCCACCTCTCTCTGCTTATCGTAGTCTTATTAAATCACAATCAGTCAACTTTGTCAGTGCAGTACCTCTCAATCTTGTGTATCGAAATAAAAGTAACTTTTACAACGTTAATTGGTGCATGCCTGCCTATGTATCATGTTGTGTGCAAAGATTCAAAGTATATATATATATATACCGTAAATTTAATCATGCATGGGTGCACTTTTTTCTTTCTTTTTGAAGAAAGTTCAACATAACCCATGGATTGACTTTTCTCGAGCAAAATATACGCTGGGCAGGAAAGCTTCGTCCGACTCTGTATGCTAAGCTGAAGTCAGGGTTTGGCAACTTTATTGAGGAAAGGTGGTGGGGGGTTAATGATCCGAGCATCAATGACTACAGTATCCTAGTGATATCAGACCAAATGGTATGAGGTACTTTGAGCTCTAAAAAAAACTTCATCAAACCTGGCCGACACCAGAGCGCAACTCCATAGTCTCCTGAGACTGATGGATGCCTACTACTAATTACTTCATACACTCAGGGTTATTGGAAGATATTCTTGTGCTGTACCCAGATTTTGCTCGTGGAGGCTAATAGATCAGCGGCCTGATTCACGAAACAGTTATGAAAGTACTTACGAACGTGTACATTTTTCCTCAATCTTTGACGCCTTTGGTTACATTTACTAAACAGTTTACAAGCATGAAAAGTTCCCAATTAACTGTTGTTATTGTTATGAACAGCCTCCCGAAGCTTCGCAGCTCATTAACTGTTTAATAATTGTAAACAAAACCGCCAAAGATTGAGAAAAGATGTACGGATTCGTAAGTACTTGGGTAACTTTGTGAATCTGGCCCCTGGGAGCCTTACATTTCATGGTCTTTCCCGATTCTATGTACGACTGGCCGTCCTGTGAGGTGCAGATATTAGATGAACTTATAGCTAGTTTTTTTTTTATCTACACCGTGTAATCTTTCACAGAATAGGGTAGCAGCACATTGCTGTGTATACCTAACCTTGTTAATAATAAACTTAACTGGGAAAATGGTTAATAGGACTTCTTGTAGGTACTTTTATTTGCACTACAAATGGTCTTTTTATACTATAATAAAATTACAAATTATCACTACTCATTTAGAGTATGTTTTGAAAGCATGTTATCTTCAGTATTTGTAGTTCATTATATTTCAAACTAAATAGTCATACTAAATATATATCTACAGGCTACTGAATATGAAATACCTTATCTGCAATACAGTAATTGTTATATAAATTTCAAACAAGTTTTCAAATTAAACCACAATGATGAGCTTTAACGCCCCAATTACACACAAGAACATTTTACAAAAATTATAGTTTCAAAATTTGACTTACTGTTAAACAAACCTATTAGTACCTACTTTGGAAATATTTGGTTAAACTTAATGCTCGAATTGGCCGTTCTAAGCATTATTCAGTATACAAAATAAACTTAATATACAAATTATTCACAACCTCACGTGTACAGTACAACATACTGTGGTTATGATATGTCCGAGAAAGTTTCTAGTAGTGAAAGCATACTTGATCAAGAGGCTTTATGCCATCTGCTCGACACTAGGCCTTAACATTTTCAGGCTAGGATGGACAAAATTCCAAGCTATACACTGCTGGGGGGACAAAATAATGTTGAAATGCTTACATTATTGCTCTATATAATGAATATAAATAACAGTTTACTTGCGTTATTGTAAGCTACATTATTTTCAAAAACTTGGGTTACGAACTTAAAGAATGAGTTATTTAGCAGTGTTAATTTCTAAGCGAATCTTAGCGAAATAAAATAATACGGTACACTTGGAATGTTTCTATACGATTTTCATTTTTAAAAAATTATAAAAGTTTTTCCTTTTCTTTATAGTATGATAATTCACACACAAATCATTGTTGAACTACTTAATGGTTCAATATACAGTGCAGTACTTAATATTTTCCGTGATAAATTTCCATACGGGAAATAATAAAGCAGGAAATTGGTTTATCTAATGGTATTGTTACTTTATAGATATACTGTTCTGTACATTGCAAGTTCAAAACAAATCTACAAGAGAACTTTAATATTACTTCAGTAAATCACTGAAACGCCATAATTTTTCACAGATGTGAATCTAATCTTTCTCATCACTTCGACATCTTCACTGTCATGGGTAAATACCAGTGAGACTCACTTTGGCGCGTTGCAGACTTACTGGGAGTTTCAGAGCCAAATGGATTCGTTGGCCCTGTAACAAGGTTTCTAGCTGCAGAAGGCATCTCTTTTTGCAAAGCAGCATCACTAACATGTGAAGATTCTGGCTCACCACAATGGTTGATGCTTACATTTACATACTTGTGCACATTATGCGAGCAGCCACTCTTGTTCATCACTTTTTTCACAAGATTTCGGTTAGGAGCCATATCCAAATACACATTATCCGTGTTATTGTATACCGCAATGGGTTCCCGGGGCACACCGTTCCTTTGGACAGTCTGGAAGTTGTTATTTAAGGGTTGATGTGATCTGTTGCTGTTGCTCCCACCTGCACAACAGCGTGTCGGCTCAGAGGTACGACTGAAAATGATCTCATTTCCGTTCTTGTGTACAGGTTCACATATACGGATGGTGTTGTCGGGCATTACCAACCCTCTCCGCTTTGGGTTATAGTAATAATCCTCATTAGAAGTAATTTCCAGCGTTTCTTGCTCCTGGTCTGTTTCAACATTTACATCCGGGTGTGTATTGAGAGTGACTCCGTACCGCAATCTCTTCAGGTAACTGTCAAGCGCGTTCTTCACGCCCGAACACCGCTCGTCACCGGCTGTGCGTGATCTAGCAAGCCGGACCACCAAGCAAAGGAGAATCAACACCACTGTCGACACACTGCATACCGATGTCACAACTGTCAAATTCCAGGCTGGATCAGGAAGTTGGGGCTGTCAATACAAGCTGCTGTAATTATGATATTTTCTAAATATTAAATTTAAATGAATACTTTATCCTAAAGAAAAAAAGTTTAATTGTAATATTTTGTTTTCAATGTGTATGTACTGGACAAAGTTAAGTGTTCAGCTCCTCCAAAGATTTATATTCATGAATATTTTGTTACTGATAGATTTCTTACTATTCTTTGAAAATGACTTTAGCGAAACAGTTTTCATGCAGAATTATGATACGAAATAAATAATAAAGTTACCTGTTCCTGTTACCTATCATCTAATTTTCTACCCTCTACCTACTCATATATCTTAGTAATTTTATTAACTTCATGCAACTAATATTGTTTTTTTGAGGCATCTATTATCCAGCGAGACCCCGATCCTTCCCAAAGTTGGGATGGAATGGAGCTTAAATTTAAACTTTTAGTCATTAAAATCATTATAGAATATAAAATATTTCACAAACGTGGAGAAATGAAGAATTGATATATAGTGCATCCTCTAGAATCTAGACGCCTGTATACATATTAATAAAAAAAATGATAAAATATTATTAAAAAAAATAGTATTAGTTTTCTACAATTCAACTCATTGATCCTTACCTTTGTGACTTTGGAAAGGAACCTGACGAGACCAAACCGGCCCGGGCCTCGACACTCACACCTGTACGAGCCTCGACTCCCATCCTGGTGGCTGGTGGTGCATCTGTTTAAATACCACACAACTGTGTTGTTTTCTAGCTCAGCTGCACCACATTTGCGGGTCCATTCATAGTCATTTGTGATACTGGAAGGGGGACGGAATACTAAATTAATGGCGTTTAAATTGACGATATTAGAAAGTGCTGTATATAATTTCCCACTTTGCTCCGGCTTGTTTTAAGGATAGGCTATGTCGCCAATTACACAAGATAAAACTAAAAAATATACAAAGATCTTCAAAAGTTATTCACAGATTTCCTCCCTCTAATGTTTGAATGCCCCCGGAATACCCGCACAGCCGTCTGCTCTGGACGTTTTCCTGTAATACAGCCAATATTACACATTATGAAGGTGAATGTAGGACCCAATTTATGTTTAATCATTAAACAGCAAATTTTCGGATGTAACCTACATCCTTTCTCAAGGTACTGTATACAATATTCTCCAAATACAATAATTATATTCACCTTCATTTAAGCACTACGGCAGTGTAGCAAGTTTCTCAATTAAAATTATGTAGAATTTTGCAAAAACAACAACGACTTTTGCTTGCAATGTGTAATATTACATAGTTACAGTGCAAGCAGTGTTCCCTTTCATTTTAACATGTTGCATGTAAAGATACCAAACACCAATATCACACAATGATAAATGGGGCCTGATCAACACACACAAGTCCAGTGCATTTATTTTGCACTGCCACTCGCTTACATATTGGGTAAGGGGGGCTATAGCTAACCAGCCGAGACTAACTCATTCCAACCAAGTGTGCAGTTTGGACACTAACACAAGAGTATGTAATGTTTGCGTGTATCCTGGAGTTAGGGTTTAGACAAAGTGACAAGACGACTCACAGGGTGTAGTAGTGTGTGTCCTGGATCACAGGGGGAAGACTGGGTGTAGTACAATCTAGGAGTGGTAATCCTGCTAGGAGGGGGAGGGAGGGAGGGGGAGGGGGGAGAGAGTGTGTTATGATATTCGAAGATTTTTATAAGACCTTCAGCCTCGAAGGGTTATTCTCAATTTATACAAGTTATGCAATAACCATCATCTGTGTACAGTGCTAGTGTTACCCTCATTATACATGATAAGTGCACTCATGACTTGCGATTGTAGTGTTAGAATAACACTGATGCGTATCCTTTACACCACCTCCTAATGCTTCAAAGTTTATAAAAGAACTTCACACTCTTGGGCCATATCTTCCTGTATAACCTACACTGACCACCATCACAAGCCTATATTTGAATAATTAATGCGTATATAAAACGCTCATAACCAGGGAGGCAGAGACAGCGTATAACTCACTTGACTCTGGATGCCGGCGCGTGTGTGGCAAGGCCCAGGAAGGAGAGGGTTGAGACAAGGGTGTGATTTAGAGGCGGCTGTGTGTGATTGACCAGATTCAAGCCCACCACCTCTACAGCGGGGGAAATGACAAAGGCTTCAGGCATATTCGTCACACTGGAACGCAAAACACATGAGTTATCCATTCTCAGTATTCCAAAAGCTATAGAAGCTAAAAAAAAAAAAAAAAAAAAAAAAAATAGGCTATGTAAAATTGCAAATATTGAAATTGTGTAAATCATGAAAATTAACACGACGAAAAATCTGAGTGTCAGACCACGGATGAAGAATTGAAACAGGAATTTCCTTAAATATTTTCGTATTTTAATACATCGCCAAAGTCATGTACGAAAACACTTAAGGAAATATACGAATATAGAAATATTCAGAATCACTATATGAAAGTACTTAAGGAAATTCCTGTTTCAATTCTTCCTCCGCGGTCTGACACTGTCATATTGAAATGTGTCATGGGCCCACCTTGGTCTTGCAAGCATCGACATTCCCGTCGCGAAGCTGTTGGGATGAAGGTACATCACCGCTCCAATAGACAGCTCTTCCGTCTGCTCCAGAACTGTCACGTCCACTCGCAAACTGGCGGAGAATAAGTCCCAATTGCTCGACTGGAAATATAATTTGTTCTAGAATCGTATTAACAAAGTCACTGGTCCTGGATACAATTCTTTAACTGTATAGCAATACGTATTCATACGCATTATACACGAAGTATAATAATTATACATTTATTATACACGAAGAAATATAAATTTTGAACACAAATTTTAAAACAGCCAATAAATATAGCAATTAGGAACCGCTTTGCTAATATTAATTATATACGAGAACACCAAAAATTATTACTATTATGCATATCTAGGAAAACAGCGAGACAATATCCGAAATAATTTTATTACACCTATATTGATACCTGTATGTAAGGACTGATGTCAATTTTGGATTACCATTTTGTAAACAAACTGGCTTCAGTACATAATTTGTAGATTAAAAAAAAGAGTCATCACTTCATTGATGAAACGAAGCTTGCTGAAGATACTGACCTGAAAGACCATGCCGAAGGTAATGAAACTTGGGAAACGAAAAGGCAACCAAAAGGCCTGGTCAGAGACCGGGCCGTGGGGGACCTTGACCCCCGGAATCACCACAGGGTGACAGTCAAGGTCTGGCTTGAAACCAAAGTAGACGGAATTGGAAACTGAAAGATAAGTGAATTGTGGCTACAAGTCACCTAAGAGTGAAAAAAACGTACGAATCCTGCGCGATTCGGCCAGATTAACTTGGTGAGGAGGTTTACCAGCGGCTAATTATCATTTGACTTTCTATTTTATTGTCTAATTAATGCTTACATATTAAGATTAGCGGTTTGTTATGCTTCGCTTGGGCTTTCTAGGTGTTTTTGGTTCAAGGAGGAACAGGTTCCATCTCAACATTGTGGCTTGCTAAGCCTGAAGCCACTTTAAACAGTCGTGTGGATTAATATACTCAAACTTTTTCAGTATTTTAAAGCTCTGAGATCAGCTTTGTTAGTCTGGTTTGTATTGTTAGTCCTGTGGCTCTCAACCTTTCCTAGTATGACAGCTGACTTGGTACCTTTTTGTACATAAATGAAACATAAGTACAGTATAATATATATATATTATATATATATATATATATATATATATATATATATATATATATATATACATACATACATACATACATACATACATACATACATACATACATACATATATACATATATACATATATACATATATACACACACACACACACACACACACACACACACACACACACACAGTTTCAAATTACACACTAGTCTGGTCTCCTGCATTGACAATCAGAATTGAATATACATTTTGATGCCCCCCCCCCTCCTTGTGGCTACAGCGTCTTTCACATACACAGAAATATACAGCGTTACATACATTCTATTTGCCAGAATACACACACAACAAATTTACAAAGAGGGTCCTCATTGCCACTACTACCTTGCTTTGCTTTTGTATTCAGAGGGCGAGTCGACAGCGAAGTCGGCATTACTTTGAAGCTGGAGTGTTGCCACCTTGGCCACCATGTCCCCCACATGGTAGGTCGTCTTCAGAGGAGGAGGAGGAGGATGCTTCAGAACGCTAATGATATTCAATTTAGTCAAGTCATATAATTTCCACACATCCTGAGGAAAAAAAAAAATCAAACTCGTCAATAGTTCTGATACAAAAACTCTGTTCTAGAATTACAAGTTATTAACGAGACTTGAATTAATATCCAAGTAAACTATTTTATGAATCATATTCTGAAATTTATTTATTAAAAATGAAAATAAAAAGGCATCAAAAGGGGGGGGGGATAAGTTGTTATTCACTGGGTGATCCGCTTATACATTATTAGTGGGTACTACTAATTACTTTTCTCTATTGTTTTCTTCCAATTTCTTGCTTGTAATGTATATATGTCTGTTGTATAATCCTGTATACATGCCTATTTTATGATCGTCTTTCCCCACACGGTCGTCTCTGAAGGTCAAAACTTGAAAAGTTTAATTTCTATGACATCGGCAGCGAGCTCAAATATTCACCAAACTTGCGTAGTGTGTCTAAGGTCGTGAAAATACTGAGGGGAGAGGAGGGGGGGAGGGGGATGAGGAAGTTTTCGACCTTTTTAGAGACGGTTCGAGTCCAGAAGACACAAGCTGCCATGGAAACGATTCGATTCGCTTCGGTAACGGCATCACTCATTGTATGTTAACTCTATCCGGGTCTCCCGACTTCTTAGATAGTCATTGTAGGGGACTTTATTAAGGAAATGGGCCAGATGCTGCTATGGATTGACATTGTTACCATTTTGACCAGCCCACACACTAGAAGGTGAAGGGACTACGACGTTTCCGTCCGTCATGGACTATTCTCAAGTCGATTGTGTCACAATCTATTGTGACAATAGATTGAGCCACGTTATTGTGGCTAATCGCCTGCACATTGTTACCATTTATTTTAACCATTTGCCCATCTTCAAGGTCAACACGTGAAAGAAACACGAGAGCCATTAGCATGAAAAAAAAAGTTAGCGGAAATTAGGACGATTCCTATTTACTTTTAACCATAAATACAGAACCCAAACGTTACTCACAGACACGCAAGACGTATGCCTCATCATCTTCATTATCTGCTGCATGACTGACAGAAAAACATCAAGGTTCACAGGCATGTTCCTTGGGTTGAACACTGTGTCGAGCGCCGCCAGCACCCCCGTACACTCTCCCGGTAACAGCCTCGTGTCCCGCTCTTGCAGCAGTTGCAGAAGTTGTCTGGCCAGACCAGCGACGTCCTCCACACGTATCTCGTATCCTCTGGCCTGAAGAACTAGCTCCGGGGTCTGCAACACCGAATCATGGTTCGTTTAAACCGGAAACGTGGTTTACATGCCCTAAAATAAATTCTAGCAGCAGAAATTTCTAGCAGCAGAAAGCAGCGTTTCTGCCCGAAACGCTGCGCGTACTAGTGGCTTTACAAGAGTGTAAATACTGTACTATCCAATGTATTCTCACAAACCCAATGTACCTTCTTGTATATATATAACTAAATAAATAAATCCAAAAATCCAAAGAGAAATAAACTGAACAAAAAGAAGGGAACTATGAGAAGAAAGCGCCAAACCTGTATTATACATCAACTTGAAAGGGGTCAGGATAAGGATTTGGGATGGGACGGGGGGGAAAGGAATGGTGCCGAACCACTTAGACGGTCGGGAATTGAACGCCAACCTGCATGAATAAAGACCATCGCTCCACCCGTCTAGTCCAACCACTTGGGCTGAACAAGGATATACACAACTATACCACCACCCTCAAAAGAGATAATGCAGTGCCTCACTCCTTAACAAAAGGCGGCACCAAGCCTGGAAGACTATGTATGACACCATCAGCGTTCTAGGAAATGTATATGTATATCTCTCAGAATGTTCGGTAATACGTTCATTGCTTGTAATGTGTGTCTATGTATGTATTAACACGATGTACTGAACGGGGTGAGAATAGCTTGAGCTGCCTCATCCCTTTGTGTGTATTTTACCTCAAACTTATTTCAATTTCAATCAGCGTTCTTGGAAATGCAAAAACACGCTAAATACCACTTAGGAGGCCAATACGAGAACAAAAGGACACAAAGCGAGTGATATCAAAGTTATCGCATTCGCCAAAAATTCAGTCTATGGACAAATGATCCAGAGGGAGATTGGGACAGCAAGACATACAATTGTCTTAAAAATCAATCCATTTTGTCCAACAAAATAGAAACTATTGTACCCTATAAAAGTCCAGGTGTTGTACTATTGACTTTTGTAAAGGGCGTGATAAAGAAGATAACCAAACTAAGCTATCATAGGCCTAGGACAGTTATCGTTAGATGTCTGTTCTTGTTGTACCATTCAGTACAATAGTGTAAAATGTCAACATTTTGGTTGCAATAGTCCATATTATGTACACGAGAAATCACAATGTGATGTATCTGAGGAAATCATTAAAGCAAGACAGGGATCGAACCTGCGTCCTGGACAACCCCGACGCATGTCTTACCCCTACAGCATTTAGGCGGATCCCAGGTTAAACGACTTAAAAGCCGTTTAACGGGTTTAAACGGTTAAAAGACCACGACTTTGTAAAAAGTCGTGGTCTACGGGTTAAGACGCGCCTCTCAGGGTGGTAAAAAAGAACGTCGCTTTTGGCCGTTTGCCCGTATGGCCGAATATGGACGTAATTTGAGAAAAAAAAAATTAATATAAATTTGGGAGTTTTTCCAACAAAAGTTAAGAGTCCTCCGATAGGTTAGGTGGGCAGGAAATTCTCAAAGTTTCAAAACGGTATGAAAAACGTTAATGGAAAGAATCCTCTTCTAAGCTGGCCGAGTAAGCCGGACGACTCAAACAGAAAAGTACGTCTCTTTTGTGAGGATTTCATTTCAAATTACGTCCAAATTTGGCCATAGCGGCGCATACCAGCGAAAAGTGACGTTATTTTTAAGAGTTCGGGTTGTACCCAGAACGCTAGTTCCATGGCCGTCCTGCTCCTGTGATTTTCTGATTTTGTACATGTTCTTCATCGAGGCTGTAAGCGTTGCTATTTATATAGGATTGGGTTGAGAAACTACTACTGGCCAGCGTTCGAAAACTTACTATAAAAATGTTGCATTGAAAAGACCGAATTAAAGCGTTGCCAAATGACTAATGACTCTTTGCGAACAAGGCGAGTCAGCAAAATAGCGATAACAAAGCGAAAACACAAGAAATCCAATTAAGATCAAGAAATAACCCATCGATCAGAGGACTACCGAAAGCCCCGAGTCAATATAGGGGGAAAACGTTAACAAATATTATGCATAACCTTACATATATAAATGTGCACATTAAGAAAAAGTAATTTATTATAAATTATAAAATTTTAGAAGATTTGAAATGACAAAATATAACATGGCATTGAGTAATTAAGTCATGTTGCATCTGCATGTTTAAGCAATGTAATTTAAAAACTAAATCCTAAATAGTATTTGTTTATATCTAAATAATCAAATTATACATATAATTTGAACAAACAATATATAGGCGGAACATTGTAGTGTAATTTTTTTTTAAGAAAGTTAAGACTTAGATTAACAGACTATGGAAAAAATGAATTTTTGTAGGTTTCAGGATTCATTTGAATCTTCAACTTTAATGCAAATAATAAAAAGCTAATTAAGTGTTCGCCAAGACACTGTGAAGATCAGCATCATGCTAGATATGAAGGTAATTTATATAGGTCTACAAATATGAAAGATGGACTTGGCACTTGCCTGCAGGATGTTCAGCAGTGGACGGTATGAGCAATCTGAAAAATCTGGAGTACTCCAAGAGGCACTCTGATTGGAAAGAAGCTGGCACTTCCGTTTGGCCTTGCCCTCGAAGCCTTCAGGACACACAGTCTCATCAGTTTGGTCTGCCTGGCAATACAACACATTAATTCTTAAAGAGCGAGGATAAAAACTTAACTTTCTAAGTAAGGCGCAATGTTGCACCCATTTGCAACAAGGTTCCAATGCACTTTACTGCCAGGGCTGATCGGCATTTGAGAATAAGAGTATCAGGATATACTTTCATACATACCTATCGGGTCATACTGGTGTCTGAGAATACTCTCAATTCAACCCCATAATACCCTCAAGAAGGTTCATTCACCTGATACCTCTATTTACCTAGCAGTAAATAGGTAACTGCCACCAGGTGCAGCGAAGTAGTCAGCAACCAAATCATAAAATATTGGTATAAATTAGACACCAGACTCCCCACACACCTGAAAATAAAAAAAAAAAAAAAAAAATAAAATAAAATAAAAGACGTTTCGACCCGTACTAGACCATTTATCAAGTCGTTATTTTCAGGTCAATACTGTCCGTATTGACCTGAAAATCATGGACAGAACAGCGGCAGCTACAAGCCTTGGTACAAAGGCAGGCAATTTGCTCAGCCTCACCTGAATGGCACATTCAGTCGGGAACAGCAGCGGCTCCTAGTAGGCAAGGGCCCTTTACATCTGCTAGATATATGCTGAGCTCAAAGTTAGCTGCTGTAACATGGTTAACTAGGATATAGATATGTCAGAAATCCACATCTGAGCAAAATAGGAGTACAGAAGTCCCTTGCAGATGGATTTGCAATACTCATTCACCAATGTCATATTGAAAAGTGAAAATCTTTCTACACTTTGAGAATGCATAGTCCAGTACTTCTATTCTCAACATAAAATAATGGGGGTGTCTTCTAGACATGAGGATAAGGTAATCTGATAACCCCAGCAAGGAAGCAGAAGCAAAATCAAATGGTTCCCATCTCCCTACAAGAACTTCAAGCAACACTATCCTTGCTCGATGAACGGGAGAATGCAACAGAGAACCTGTGATGCACTGAAGCCTCCCCTTCCAGATCCATTAAGAGCCAATGTTAAATCTAGAAATGTTTCAACCTACTTAACTGAGAGACGGGAGAAGTCTCCCTTATCACAATGGTATCAACTAGCTTGGACACCAAACTCTAACATGGACCGTATGGATACCAGGTGACCTCTAATCTGTAGCATTTCTAACTACATCTTCCTAACCCTGACTGTAGTATCGACGAAGATACATGTATACTAGTCAGTATTGTTAAAGGACTTCAATCACCGTAGTCGAGTGCTCAGTAACCATGTACTGGAACAGCTCTAACTCATGGAGGAGAAGAGAAAAATTATATATGTTGTTAACATTGTATAAATGCATAGCTACATCTATAATAGAAAAAGTCTCGGGCACTGATGTTGTTCATTTGGAACATTTTTTTAACGGTTTGATTCAGCTAACTGACAAAATTTCACCCAATGTTTAAGGTTAAGAAGCTGCTCAACAGTATTTGTTGAATTTCACTCTCGGTGGACACTCTCTCCAGACTCAAGACTCCTGGAACAAAACACCGTCGGGTCAGTTCACTAAGGACTGCCTCCAACACCACCAAGTACCTGCACTACAACAAGAGGTTATCTTGAGATGATTTCGGAGTTTTTTAGTGTCCCCGCGGCCCGGTCCTCGACCAGGCCTCCACCCCCAGGAAGCAGCCCGTGACAGCTGACTAACACCCAGGTACCTATTTCACTGTTAGGTAACAGGGGCATAGGGCGAAAGAAACTCTGCCCATTGTTTCTTGCCGGCGCCTGGGATCGAACCCAGGACCACAGGATCACAAGTCCAGCGTGCTGTCCGCTCGGTCGACCGGCTCCCCGTTTTAAGAGAGGTAAAGGTATTCAAGTATTTCTCCTACATAACAGTAGCAGCAGCAGCAGCAGCAGCAGCACTCTACGAGCCGGGAGATGAGCAGCATCATTATGACATCCCAAAGTACAAGGGGAACCAGAAGAAACTAAAGGTGGGCAAATCTGGGTAATTTCTTGATATGAAGCTACTACCGCCTGGTGACATTGGAGTAGCAGGCAAACAGAAACTATTAGAGTGATGCTAAAAGCACCTTGCAAATACTGTAATGTATAATCTAATCAACCCTCTCTGATCATTTTGGGCTAAATTGCTAATTACCAGTAGGAAGCCGTTAGGTTCGTGGCTGTTGAAAGTGGACATGCACTTGTTGCTTTGACTGACGCTTGGCTGGTACATACTGTCCGGGAGCCAGATTCACGAAGTAGTTACACAAGTACTTACGAACCTGTCCATCTTTCCTCAATCTGTGGCGGCTTTGTTTACAATTATTAAACAGTTAATGAACTCCGAAGCACCAGAAGGCAGTTAATGACGATAACAACAGTTAATTGGGACGTTTTCATGCTTGTAAACTGTTTAATAAATGTAACCAAAGCCGTCAAAGGTTGAGGAACCGTCGATTCAACGTCGAATCTCCGCCACTCTTTGATACTGTGCCCAATGGGAACACTATCTCGTGAATCGGCCTTACTATCCGTACTGTAATACAATATATGTGCTAACCGAAACGCTTTGCGCTTCGCGTTTGCCTTTTTTCCCCTGCCCGAAACGCTTTGCATAATAATGGCTTTAGGCAATGTATGTACTAGCTCTATCTATAAATTCATTAATATCTGTATCACCCCTTGCATGTATGTACTTTACCTAAATAAACATTTGAATTTGAACAACTTTTTAGGGACTCAATGTTAGTTTTTACAGCATTCATGATTTCAATGAAGGGTTTAGGCTATGAGATCTGCAAGTGTAGAAGTACTCATGACTAGGACTTACGGGTGTGGCTTGCCAGAACGTCGAGTACGATGCAGTTGGTGGACAATGTGAATGTTGTAACTGAAGAATGTGAACCATCACACAATTCGAGCCGGTGTTGGTCACCGAGTCACTGCACAAGTTCTCTTTCACTTTCACTTCACATTTTACACTCACCGATTGCTAAAAAAAGAAACATTTACATTATCTTAATTAAGGGGGGGGGAGGGGGAGCAGAACACAGTATAATGAAATGACCCGTTTCTGGATGAATCTCTAAGGCATGTTACAGTTTAAGTACAGGTAAGATATTCCACAGCTTATAACCATCTCCTCCAGGTACTGTGGCCATCATGGACTACCAGGACAACAATCTTGCCTCCTTCCCTCTCCTTGAAAGATGCGAAGGAACGTGAGAGTGCCAGACTTATATTATTGTTGACATAGAATGCACTCTGCCCCTGCCAAGTCATTGTGAATCTCTTACGTATCCCGAGAGTGGTAGCGCAGAAGGATTACAGAGAGTACAAACTATCGTAATCAGACCTCGGTCAATATTACATTAGCATTTACGATACATCTGCACTGCTCGGAACCACCTATCCGCCAAAGCCGTAAATTAAAAAAAACTGCTGAATTTCAAAATCCATCTCGATAAAATTATGAGGACAAATGTGGGCGGGACCTTTGACAAGCCGTCTGCTTCTTGTCCTCGTCGAGGCCACTAAAGATAGTGGACCTCGGGAAAATTCAGGTAAATTTGCCAACGGCTAAACTTTCCAACAAGAATTTTATGCCAATGAACTCGAGGTATATATTCAGCTGGAGATCAACAACCACGTACTCTTCTTGATTGATATAAATTTAATGAAGCTGCAGGTCAAACAAGTTTTTGTATATTTTATATATATATTTTATTCGTAACAAATTTTTTGTTAACTTTCAATTAAAACACACCATAGGTGCAATATAAACTGTAGAAATTAGAGAAAAAAACTTGAAATATTTAAATCCACGAGAGAAATGGCTGATCAATTTACCTGTATATTGTAAATGTAGATATTTGATCTGTTCCAACTGCTGACATCATGGAAATAATGCCCAACGGCTTTTCTCGAGGTGACGACCCAAGAGAACTTGTAGTTCCTTCCACCATCCCAGTCACCCTTAATGTTACAACTAAGAGTCGCATTACCATTCTGGAAAGGAAATGTCATTCATCATCACTACATTTTACCTACTGAAACAAATGTAATAATTTTAATGTTTAGATGAAGTTTGTTATTATAGAACTTGGTTTACGATGCTGACGGCGAAGTAATGGCCTGTGCATGTATTTACAAATGAATGCATAACCTTTGCACTGCGCATAACATCGTGATATGATGTTCGACCGGTGATGAACACAATTACATGTTTTAGGTACTTTGCAACATTTAAAACTTCCACAGGTACACTGTGTTCACAATCCGTATTTGAGACCATCTTGAAAAGTGACAAGATTTTTTGGATATTTTTTCTCTGCTCAGGGCTTGATTTTTAACAATATATTTGACAAAAGCTTTATTTTGAATACTTTTTTCCCCTGCGAGCACACTAATGCCTCAAATGCCTCAATGCAACAAGCAATACAAAATTTATATGCCATAAAAAAGCGACATGTTAACGACAGTTAAAATCAATTTAAGATCAGGTAAAAGCAATTTAAGGAATTAAATCATAAAGCGGAAAAGTTAACATCCTGACAGACAAGATGCTACGTATGACGCTCGTAGATGGAAAGCTGTTGGCGACAGCGGAGGGAATGTGAATAATGATGGTTACTAAAGATATTGTTTAATTCATGGGAAGGAGGGAGTCGATATCCTAGTCATGTCTTTCCAGTTTTATGCAGTCAGTCGTGTTTTTGACTTTCATTGAAAAACATGACTTTTCAGTCATGTTTTTCCAGAATGCAGCCCCACAACTGTTGCCTAATTCCAGGCTAGGTATTTACTGCTAGGTGAACAGAGGCATTAAATGAAATGGAATTTAGGAATCGAACCCGGGATCCCCGGCTGAGTAAAGAACAAAACCAACTGTACTATAATAACATCAAATTTATGTGCAGTACTCGCTAAAAACGCAACAAAGGTGCCTACTCCTCCTAGGTACACTCTCCACCTTGTAAACACGAAGTATACAAGTACTGTATTCCAATTCAGTGCACAAGTACATCATAAAAGTAGTCACTAATATTGTCTCGGCTAAAGTGGTTACATATGCATTATGCACGAATATTCTTCTTGAAGGGTTGCACCTCTGCAAAAATAGATCAGACTCCCCCGCAGAAATCCACCAACTTTTGAAAAAAGTATGACCCTATTTCCATTGCAGAAGTGTCAATACCTCCATTTGAGTGTACCATTGCACGTGAGCTCGCATTCACCGCCTCCAGGAGCTCAATCTCGTCCACCACTACCACCAATGTGTGACTAGACATTACAGAATCTCCTCATATCAAACGATCATCCAATTATCAGTCTGTTTACATCCAGGTAAGTCCTACCATGACCTGCCAGATTACACCGCAATTACCAATCCAGCCGACCAATGCTGTGCTCGACATTTTGTATTCATTTTACCAATTCCTCTGAGAATGCTCTTTTCATCAATTCCATGAAAGCAAATTCCAGAGTTATTTTTACAGTTTCCATCCCAAGTGAAGAACTTCAGAAAATATGAAATATTTGTGCTAGAATCGTTGATTATGTCATATTCAATAACACATATACACACGTGTGTGGATACATAGGCACTGACAAATCAAATTACTGTGTGTCAAACCTACAAAGATATCCTTGAATACTTTTCCCAGTCATGATTCATGAACCCGAATTTTCATGACAATTCACTTTCTAACACAACACATTAGAACAGCCCATTCTATTTCCCCTACGTAAAAAGAAAATTAAAAAATTTGGCTAGGCTAAAAAATATATAAATATAAAGAGTAGCCTAACCAAAAAGCGTTAAAAAAATTTACCAGCCTACCTAACCTACTGGAGCCGATATTACCACCAATGAACCCTACCAAAATGCAAGTTGCCTCAACCTTTTCAATTCTGATGACATAGGGCAACACCTCCACTTGTAAGGGCGGGACGAGATCGGCGACAACAGTGCGGGCGACAGTCTTGTGGTGGTGGTCGGCCGCCTGGCAGGTGTAGCTGCCCCAGTCCACTGACGGGTTGTGACCCTCCACCCACAGCTCTACCGAATGGTCCTTCGCGTTCATCCCTTCGTAGTACTTGATGGTGTACATGCCTTCAGTCACACGCGACACAGAACTGGGAAAATAATTAATGAAAATAATAAATATAACTGGGAAAGTAATTCATTAAAACGTGAAAAATTAAACTATAATCCTGTATTGAAATACATTACAATTCACACATTTAATCCACTATAATATGTATATTCTATGAATATTAGTATTATAATTATAATATTCATAGAATATACATATTATAGCGGTTTAAATGTATGAATTGTAATGTATTTCAATACAGAACATGGTCTCCTTTTTCATACATTTCAACACTATTCTCAATCATAATTCCTAATTTCTCTTCTTGCTCTACTTCCTATGTTTGTATGTGCAAATATATATATATATATATATATATATATATATATATATATATATATATATATATATATATATATATATATATATATATATATATATATATATTATATATATATATATATATATCCCTTGTATACGCGTTTATACAAGGACCTGTGAGCACTGCACTATGTATATACAAATTCAGAATAACTAGATTTATCATTTTCAGCAGCAGTTACCAGTTAATTACTTGCAATTTGCAACAAGTACCAGAATGAGGCCAGCATCAGCAGTAAGTGACCAAGTTTCAAACAGGAAAAATCGAGACAAATTACAAGAAACGTGAAAAATATTTCTTAATATTAATTTTAAAGCTTCGTGTATATTCTAAACAAGTTAACAAAATACGGTACAATATTTAATGAAAAATGAAGTTGGAAAATGTATAATAAATCACTAAACAGACGTAGTATATTTATATCGTATTTTTCCACATATTTACTTGCCTAGAGTTGATGTTGAAGGTGTAGATATGATAGTGGTCTTTATACCAGTCTATCATAAGAGGTAGATTGCCATATATGTTGCACATCAACACGAGGCTAGACTGCCTGACCTCTTTCCTCACAGGCTAAAGAAAAACAACTTTTAAAATTAAGGTAGAAAACTGGTCAAATGCGTTGACAAATGATTACTGGGACAAGCAAAACCGACTTTGAATGGTACTATAAATGTTGTTACTTTAATTTGAAGTAAATTTTATAATTTTACAATAAATAGAAATTAAATGCACTAAATACATGTGTACTTGATAGCAAATAATTGTCAATAATAAATTAAATATACCATCCCAATCTCACATTAACTTATTAGTAAATTGGCAATAAAAAAGTCAGTTATAATGACATTTGACACTTGAATAAATGACTGTTGACAGTTGGAACTAATTGCCAATGAAAATCAGGACAATGACAAAATTACACCGATTAATTGCCATTGGCAATGTTCTATGCACGATAGGGAGATCCGATGTGACCTCCCTCACGCTTTCCCTGAATTAACGAAGTGTCGTTAAGTGTTAAATCCCATTTTCTTATCATTCAGGATTCATTTTATTTTCCTTGTAAGCTATTACACATATCTAGTTGTGATCACGGTGTTCTGTCTGACTGGACAAACAAGATATTAAATCAGTGGATTTGACAGATTCACACATTTGTGATCGTCTTGGCATTTCGAAATACTTCCCCACCTTCAAGTACACACTATCCTCATCAGGTTCTCAAGTACTGGACTGTTCAGACCAGTTTGGACTCGACATCTACATTGCAGAAGGAAAGATCAACACTTCAATAATATATAAATTGGAAAGTTTGCAATAAGGAGGCAGAGAAAATAGAGCGTAGGTGGTCCTTCAACGGGAGTGATGCAGGGGGAGCACAGCTACTGGGTAAAGTGGCTCCCACGAGACGTCAAACCCATCTTCACATCAACTGGATAGTTATCTAGATATAAATGATGGTCTGAAAGCATACTATGGTTCCAATAGTAGTCTGTAAACTGGCAAGTGAACCTTTGTCCAAAAAACAATAGTCTCAAGTTATAACTACTGTATTATAAATCATTAGTTTAAAATAGAGTATGCTTAACTCTTTTTCTTTGAAACTGAGGAATTTGGTTTTTGTACATTAAAATTTTTGAGGATACTCAAATTAGTTTTCTAATTTCATATTTCACGTTTGAGAGTAATGCACTATATTAACGTAATCAAATGTAATTAAACCTAAACTAACCTTAACCAAACCTAACCATGGATAGGGCGTAGATAGTAGTAATTACATAGTGGTTTCTTAGTGACTACCTCTAGGGTACCTCCTCCCTCAGGACAGGTTGCGGCGCAGGGAAAGAAGGGTTGTATAAACCTGTATCCTGTAGCACAATCACTCACACCTACTTCAGGTATACTTACCCCCCCAACTTGTGCACCAGCTCAGTGACATACACATTATATCTTGTATTAGGGATGTTATGGGATGTACGGGATGTAAGTAGGGACATCCCTACCATACTTCAGAAATGTTTACCCGAATAAACAATTGATTTGACTTACACCAATCCACAAAACATCCTGGTAAGTGAGGCTGACTGAGGACATTAGAGCGTCTTCCCAAACACTCTTGGCGGGAACAAGGCTTAGATTCTTCACAGCAAAGTGGACCTTCATCTCATTTGAACTGTAAATTAAGTTTCAACAATATTAAAAAAGGAAAATCTTGTAATATCTAATTCCACGATTTTTATACGAAAATTAGTTCATAAACCAGTTCTATAGTGGTAACAGCCTAATAAGACTTATGTAGTACAAGAAGCTGTACACATCACAGTTATGTAAAATTAAATTAATACAGGAACTAAAAATACATTTACGTAAAATATACAGGTATAGGGTAGAATTTGCATGTTAATTTAGGCTAGAATTAAAAATAAAAAGAACTAACAGGGAGCTAAATAGAAAATGACAGCCGAATTATTTTATTTCAGGTATAACTATGCAAATTAATTTGTACATTGCAATATTAAGATATTTAATGGATGATCACGATTAAACCTAACCACCCTCTAAAGAAATTCAGAGTTTTTCCAACAGTTCTTCCTAAATAAAGCACAAAATCGAGCATATAACTGAAATGTACACTACATTCCTCACCTGTTGGGTGGAACGCTGATGTCCAGGTCTTCGAGCCCAGCTTTCTGAAGTAATCTGTAAGTCTGAAGATGTGGATTATAAATAAATTGTACAATGAACATGAACACAAAACATAGGTTAAAATTACCTTTGTATAACTACACTCTTCTACACCATTTTTAGAGACAAATGAAATGTTTATAAAAAGTGTTAAAGAAGATTATTTATTTGACTTATCAGAAGGCATAATTAAGTTCCAGTAGTTCAATATAACTACAAATTATTGTAATTATATTATTACTTTAATAATTAAATTATTAACTTTCTTTTTAGCAAGCCGAAGAGCGCATCCATTATATTATAAATCTAAAAAAAATCTTGAAAATCTAAGATTAAATTCACGAAACAGACGCAGGAGGACACCCTAAAGCAAGATATAAAACTAAATAAGATTAGAACGTTACAGTGTTTAGCATTAATATACATTTTGGTGAAGTAGAGATCAGTAGCTAAAGTGCATAGTTTTAAGTCCGTAGGACAAGAGAAGTTTTTTCTCAACATTCGCTCGTTAAACTTTGATAGTAAAGGACAAAGGAATTAAGAGACGGCCAAAGGAATTAAGAGACGGCCAAAGGAATTAAGTAAGTAAGTAAGTAATTATCAAAAGAAGGCACCAAACCGGGAAGGCTATGTAGCACCATCAAATACGCAAAATAATCAGAGGGCGCTAAATAAGGAATTAAGCGTAAGACTAATTGCCCCAACGACAGGAGAATGAACGAGTTGGCACCGACCTTTTCTTTGAGGGATATGTTCTGGTGGTAGTCGTGAACCTTCACCGTCACGTCCCACAAGTCATCTGTAGTCACAAGATGTCAAGTTAGATACAAAATGCGTAGAAAACCAGACGAGTTATGATTAGTTTTGAAGCAATATGCCGAGGTCGAGTTTCATCTTTTCAGGCAAAATCTTTACGAGGTGGAACACAGTCTTAAAGCAGGCGATGAGTCACAATAACGTGGCTTAAGTATGTTGACCAGACCACACACTAGAAGGTGAAGGGACGACGATGTTTCGGTCCGTCCTGGACCATTCTCAAGTCGATTGTGAACTTGAGAATGGTCCAGGACGGACCGAAACGTCTTCGTTCCTTCACCTTCTAGTGTGTGGTCTGGTCAACATACTTTAGCCACGTTATTGTGACTCATCGCCTGCATATGAACAACGTTAACAGCTCTCTGGATAATGAAGTCACAAAAGAAGATGTTGATATTCCTAAAATTGTAATCGTACGTGCTCAATGTTGTGCTAATTTCGGTGGCTCAAATGTAGCGGCCCCACCCCCTTCCAACCACTCCGGTTAATGGCTTCAGAAATACAATTCGGAGGTGCTGGATTAACCACTTCACAGCTCTGAATCATGAGGCAGTATCAGAGCTCTCCTGATTGTTGAAAATGGCTAACGGGCAATCTGTAACCTACAACAGTATCAAATCACTACAGTTTGCCACCTGAACTTTAACTATTATTATGCCATTATGGATGCTACGGCGGCAATGGGACAGAAATAAACAGATCTGGCGACTTGAAAATACATCATGGCTTTATCAGCTATATCTGTAGCTATATACATAAACAAATGCTGCACTAGAGTGTTCATAACGTTGAAATCTCCAAGCACTATCATGCTAATGATACATTCATATACGTCTACATATAACTAACTAGGACTTGTGCAAACCGATAGTCAAACAGCTTTAATTGAGCACACTGAAATCAAGATACAATAGCAGACAACCACACCAGCATGTTCAGCAGCACCTAAGTCAAATCTCGTGTTATAGACGAGACTTTTAGGGGCCCCAGACACGTTGTGAAGCTTTAACGTAATTGTTGAAACGCAAGTTTGTGTGGTTAGAATCAAATTTATGTCTGGCTCGGCTCTCACTACTCCTTTGTATCAAAGTGGCTTTGCAGGTTGACTTTCATAAAACAAATCATCCTAAATTTAGAAGTCTATTGAATGTAATTATTCATTTCAAATGGCTCAAGAAAAAACTTGATAGCGGAAATTGCAGGATTCATTGTAATGTGTCAATAAAAACTTACATTGTTCAAATTTGTATGTTCCAAAACATAGAAAGACAACATTTAATGCACTCAATGTGCTTCAGATAGTTAAACGACTCCCAAGCCATGCATCTAGTGCTACTACTGTATAATGTAGTTGTATTACCCATTTCTTGGCAGTGTGTTTTATTTATCAACTTGTAGCCTGCACGACACTGGCACTTGAAGATATTCCCAGCGATGTGACACGTGTGCTGGCACTCTAAAACTCCTCTGCAACCTGGAAACAAGAGAATCTTGTCGAATGGTATTGATACCCTTTGAGAAAATCCGTAGGAGCCGTGATGAGGGTTCGAACTTATGTGGTATTCTCACGTACACGCCCTAGCGACTAGACCACGACATTGGTTCGAACCCCTCATCACGGCTCCGTTGGATTTTCTCATTGATGCAGTCACGTTAGTGTGATTACTCTGAATGCCCTTTGTATTATACAACATTATACAACACTATATACGCAAACAAGAAAAGCTTGCACAGTATGCTGATCACGAAAGGTCTCCCCCGTCTAGTCTTGTAAAGTAATTTCAGGTAAGTATATCGTGAGATACAATTTTATTATCTTTAATTAATCTGCCAAACCTATCAGTTAACCTACAGGATGGGCAAAGGCTCCCGAGTTTGTTAACTGGTGATAAAGTAGAGATTATCTCTGCTACTAACTACTGACTTATCAGGAGAGAAGAGAATAGTTAAAACTATCTTAATTAAAATTAGGAATCTGCTGTATGTTTAGAGTTCACACACACACACACCTCTGCTAAATATAGAAATATCCGGATTATCTATTATTTTAACCCCAAATTAAGTCTCTCCTTACATGTACAAGTTCAACTCCTCCAACTCAAACACAAACCAGTAGATATAGAACTAATGCTCAAAATCACCACGTGGTACAATCCCATGGGAAAGAAACACCAAGTCTGTTTTCCAATCTTTGGCCCAAGAGGGAATGCACTCCTTCAATCACCTCACCCTGGAAGAGTGTCATTCGGGGAGGATGGAAGGATTTGGCACTGGCACTTGGCACCTTGACGTGGCACTAGCTACATCAAGGTGGTCGAGGTATCCTTGTACTCTTCCTCAGTCTAGCTAAAACAAGCCTCGCAATTGGCAATAAAATGGCAATAAAGAATGAAATTTTGAAGAGATTTTTCGGTTCACAATCTACCCGTCTATCGCGTGAATGGCGCTGTATTATGAGGGGTCTTCCCTACATACAATGTTCATCACATGGAGTCTGAGTGAAGATCATGTACAGCTAAGATTGTAATTTTATACAATTAATGACCACATGAGGTTCGCATACGGACAGATGGATTGAGATGCACCTCATGATTAATTCGACAACAAAGAGAATCTTTTAAGAATCTAAAACATGGTAAACATTCCTGAATCTCAAAATTGAATTTTTATTTGACGCCAAAAACTTTTTAAAAAAAAATGAGGCTTTTAATATAATGTGTCAAAATGAATAACAACGATTGGTGTCAGTTTCTCCCGAATTCAGTAACGCTCTAATATTCGAAAAAAATATCAGCATAAACAACACCAACAGCATAAAATTTGACACCTACTTCCATTATATTCCGGGGCGGTGGACTCGTGGTGCTCACAGTGCCTGCCAAAGTAGTCTTCATCACACACACACACATTCTCCCCCCTTTGGTACCTGGGAAAATAATTTGCTTACTAATTTGATCTCTATACAACGATTAGAGACTGTATCAAGACACAACATTTTCACCCAATAAAAGCAGCATGCAATTCTCATGTCCAGATTTCCTTTCGACAAAATAGCTTACATAGTAGAATTCAATATAAAAGTGTCAGCAAAGAATTAAGTTATCAAGCTATATAAATACAGAACTATGATTTGCCAGCCATAAAAAATATATATATATGCAGCACAAGGCAGAGTAATAACAGTAATAACCACCAGTAGGGTACAGAAACGAGGCATTGAGACATTACTGGCACAGTCCATGATGACTGCAGACATCAGTGTGCGAAGCGTCGGGGCAGGCGCCGCCCCACTCGCATGTCTCTCCTGAAGTATTGGCCATACACACGCACTTGAACCGATACATTCTGAAGAGAGTATTTAGCTAGGATTAAATGAGCAAAAATTTGCAGTACAGTAGTGTATATATACATTATTCGTACATAGATTATATTATAAACAGGCGAGGCGTGTTAGTACACTAATCGGCAGTCTATGGTAAATGCTCCGAGGAGGATGCAGGCGACTTTGCCACCCAGTGTTTTCAAGCCAATTTTGTAATTGTTAATAATAACTTAAGTGAAACAAACCATTAGTTTCCCCCTCGTCCCATCCCATATCCTTATCCTGATCCCTTCCCAGTGCTATATAGTCATAATTGCTTGGCGCTTTCTCCTGATAGTTCCTTTCCGCCACCTACGCAAGCCTTACTGTCATTTGTTATCAGTAGATTTATGTCAATATATGCGAATTGACATCCAGCAGGTGCCATAGAAGTGATATATTGACCATAACTTCATTTTTATCGCTAACTTTAGTCACTTTAAGGAGTTATGACTTACTGGACCCGTCACGTAACTGCTTGGCCCCCCCCACCTCTCCCCCCTCTTTACTGTCGTCTCCATTGATGTTATTTCCAACTGAAAACTTTTATAGCTGTATAAATGTTTATCTGCTTTAACGCAGCAAATTTATGCAATATGGCGTAATGGTTTATGAAGTTAAATCTAAACCCGATCAGGTCCCATTTCACGTTCCATATGATCGGCTAATTTCCCCGACTGTACACCTGAAATTAAGTGTTTGTAATGCATACCTGTGAGCACAGTGTCGCTGCCAGAATGTACCCTCCCACCCCCTCCACCCAACAATCTCTGCTCCCCACAATCTACACTCCCCCCACAATCTGCTCTCCCACACAATCTGCTCTCCCACACAATCTGCTCTCCCACACAATCTGCTCTCCCACACAATCTGCTCTCCCACACAATCTGCTCTCCCACACAATCTGCTCTCCCACACAATCTGCTCTCCCCCACAATCTGCTCTCCCCCACAATCTGCTCTCCCCCACAATCTGCTCTCCCCCACAATCTGCTCTCCCCCACAATCTGCTCTCCCCCACAATCTGCTCTCCCCCACAATCTGCTCTCCCCCACAATCTGCTCTCCCCCACAATCTGCTCTCCCCCACAATCTGCTCTCCCCCACAATCTGCTCTCCCCCACAATCTGCTCTCCCCCACAATCTGCTCTCCCCCACAATCTGCTCTCCCCCACAATCTGCTCTCCCCCACAATCTGCTCTCCCCCACAATCTGCTCTCCCCCACAATCTGCTCTCCCCCACACTTGGCCCGTTTTGCATTTAGTCCGTGGCACAGTAACTGCTTACCCGTTTTCTGTTTGCTGGAGCTCTGGAAAGCCATTGTACTTGCAGTGTTGGAGGTAGGCATAGCTAGACATCTCCGGCACCCGCGCCGTCGCGTTCTCGGCCAAAACCTCGTAGGTAATGTTGAACATATCCCTACTGGAGTATGGGTCTGCCAGCAGAATTATAAATTATAGTCAACGATGGCACCAATATTGAAATGACATTTTATCATATAAAGTTTCATAGGGTTAGATGACTTGCTGTTATAGGATTTTGTTTTTCAAAATCACACTTTTGACTGACATTTGTTTTTTTTGAGAGGACATCAGGGAGTGGACGGGGGGTCCTCACCGTGCGGGAGCCGCAGTAACTCGTAACTGGACGGGATGGTGATGTTGATATAGACGGGAAAGGTGAAATCAAAATCCCTCATGTGTCTGAGAGATACGGGTACGTCGGCGTCGCTCGAGGGGTCGTGATTGGTGACGTGGCTGTAGGTCTCGTAGCCCGGGCCGAAGTAGCCGTGACAGTCATCAGGCAGGTAGTCCATACAGTAGTTGTTGATGGTGTTCGTACTGAGGATGCGGCTGTCGTGGTGATCTATGAAATCCTCCTCACACACCCGCACCTGGAAATAATAATAATGCAGGCGATGAGTTACATTAACGTGGCTGAAGTATGTTGACCAATCCACACACTAGAAAATGAAGGGACGACGACGTTTCGGTCCGTCCTGGACCATTCTCAAGTCGATCGACTTGAGAATGGTCCAGGACGGACCGAAACGTCGTCGTCCCTTCGTTTTCTAATAATAATAATAATAGATGCACAAGGTGAACAATTTCAGGTATGCTTGTGAGACAATGTTAGTGAAGAATGTAGTGTTGTGTTGACTTAAAATTTGTCATTGCAGTATAACATTGTGAAGAAGTGTTTTCAGCCTTACATTAACTTCATCTTGGTCTCCTTCAGTTAGTAAAAATTCATGTTTATTTTTAACCTTCATTTATTATTATTTTTGTTATGTAAATTAGTCCAATAAACTAGATATGAAGCATGAAATTTGAGACGACAATGGTCTTTGGTCTTTCTTGATTTTGAGCAAGTTTTGGCTTCTATTGGTCGTTTGATTACTTATTAAGTTGTTGCACTCAAAGCAGTTTTATGTCTATATAGTTATTGGTGAATTCATACTTGTTCCAAAAGATGAGCATAGTTCTTAAAAGCTCCATTCAATTTCTTCGTCATCCAACTGGTTCGTTACGGTTTCCTTTTCCTCTTTTACACATTTTCTTGTTATCAACGTTCAGTGATCGTAGTGAAGGTATCCCATGAACCTTCAATGTCTATCTCTAACCACCTTCAGGAAGTATTTTGGCCCATTCTTTGATCTTCTCCACGAAAGTAGTCAAAGTTATCAACGTCCCGGACCAGTAATGTGGAGTTTCAACTGCTCCTCAATCTCAGCAGGAGTTTACGTATGTCTACTCTCCCTTTAATATGACAACTCCCCATTTTCACAAAATGATTCTCCGCTACCCGAATTTGACCGATCATGCTACTCTCGTTATTGCTATTTGAAAGTTATTTCGACCTCGAATGGGCTCAGTCACGTGAGAGACCTGTACGAGGGGGTCAAAGAAACTACTCTCCTGTTTGTGATGCTAGATTCTCCGTCTGTCTGTTGTCTCAATGTTAAGATTCCCCGTTATAAATGCGTGTGCTTCAGCCGAAGTCATTATAATTCAGGTCTAACTACTGCCCTTGCTCTGCACGTGCAATGCAACACGCTCTCATTATCAGTTTTGTACCATTTTGATTTACTATATTGCATGGTACACCATTCTGAACCTCCCAGGTTTAAGTTTAACAATTGCTGCTTGCCGTCAAGCTCTCTTGTGAATAGCCTTACACTACTTGGTTATATGAACACGCTAAGATACACAGCCATATGCTGCTACCGTGTTCCGCGGGAAGGATGACAGCTAGCCATAGGCAGCTCACCGTTTATCATCCAATATCACCATCACAGTGGAGGGCTAATTATAGGCGAGGTCAGAAGAACAACCACGAGATGATGTTCGTGGTTGTTCCACCCAACAGGTGGTACAAAACGGCGGGATGAACTCCCCCCCCCCCGACAGGTGGTACAAAACTGCGACATGAACCTCCCCCCCCCCCGACAGGTGGTACAAAACTGCGACATGAACCTCCTCCCCCCCCCCCGACAAGTGGTACAAAACGGCGGCATGAACCCCCCCCCCCGACAGGTGGTACAAAACGGCGGCATGAACCCCCCCCCCCCGACAGGTGGTACAAAACGGCGGCATGAAACCCCCCCCCCCGACAGGTGGTACAAAACGGTGGCATGAACCCCCCCCCCACAGGTGGTACAAAACGGCGGCATGAAACCCCCCCCCCGACAGGTGGTACAAAACGGCGGCATGAAACCCCCCCCCCCGACAGGTGGTACAAAACGGCGACATGAACACCCCCTCCCCCGACAGGTGGTACAAAACAGCGGCATGAAACCCCCCCCCCCCCGACAGGTGGTACAAAACGGCGGCATGAAACCCCCCCCCCCCCGACAGGTGGTACAAAACGGCGGCATGAAACCCCCCCCCGACAGGTGGTACAAAACGGCGGCATGAAACCCCCCCCCCCCTGACAGGTGGTACAAAACGGCGGCATGAAACCCCCCCCCCCTGACAGGTGGTACAAAACGGCGACATGACCCCCCCCCGACAGGTGGTACAAAACGGCGACATGACCCCCCCCCCGACAGGTGGTACAAAACGGCGACATGACCCCCCCCCCGACAGGTGGTACAAAACGGCGACATGAACACCCCCCCCCGACAGGTGGTACAAAACTGCGGCATGAACCTCCGACAGGTGGTACAAAACAGCGGCATGAACCTCCCCGACAGGTGGTACAAAACAGCGGCATGAACCCCCCGACAGGTGGTACAAAACGGCGACACGACCCCCCCCCCCTCCGCCCACAAGAGGTGGTACACGCTCCACTGTGGCGGGAAGTCGACTCGGAGCACAAGTAACGAGGCTCCGGGAACTCTCCCAAAGAGACAAAAATTCCATTTACACACACACCGACTTGGACATTTAAGTGCTGTAGAGTTAACTCCAAGGTGCCGGGGCGCCTGTCTTCCATTAGTCTTTAACCTCGCTTAAAGAAAACCATTACAAACGTGAAATATATATTAACTCGTCCTCCACACACACACACACACACTTACCCTGACATCCAAGAGGTAATACTCGTGGAGGTGGAACGACACGCTACCGAACTCTAGTTCGAAGAAATTGGCCAAAAGAGTGAATGGTAATTCAATGTCCTCACAGCAGAGCCTCGGGGTTAAGAAGCCAATTTTGGCGTTCTGGGATGTTATATCCACTTCGCACCTGTGCTTGTCTGTACACCTGGCGTTTATAATGGTGGCGACTGTCAGTACCAGCGACCACAGTTTCCACACCAGGTACTGCCACGAGTCGAACCCCGCCATGGGTATACTGCCTTACGGCTCTACTGTTACGTACACCTTCTCTTCATTAGGTACCACCACTGACACACTTTTTTTCCTAATATAAATATATTCTAAAGTGTAGGTGAATATCATGCGCTTGACTAGTACTCTGACTCAATAACAAACTGATTGGATAAGAAACGCAGTCACCCTGCCCGCACACTGGCCGAGGCAAGACTGAGCCCCTGGGTGTGTTTACCTTGCTTGTGTCGAGTCAACCTCTCGACCTGATTCGACCACTTCCTCTACTCTCTCAGTTTATAAACAAACGAGATAGTGAATGAACCGTGAGTAAACTAAACTTGTCATAGCTTTTCTGAACAGGAAACTTGGTTTAACAGCCCTCTATAGTGACTTGTCTTTGTGCTTAGGGAATACGAATATTTAACGTTCTTGCGTGTATATCACATTGAAAAAACAACGAATATTTTAGGTAATTATACCTTTATTCTTGGGCTAGTTGCTACTACGACGGCCTGGGGCCAGATTCACGAAAGCACTTACGCAAACACTTACGAACCTGTACATCTTTTCTCAATCTTTGGCGGCTTTGTTTCCAATTATTAAACAGTTAATGAGCTCCGAAGCACCAGGAGGCTGTTTATAACAATAACAACAGTTCAGTGGGAAGTTTTCATGCTTGTAAACTGTTTAATAAATGTAACCAAACCAGTCAAAGATTGAGGAAAGATGTACACGTTTGTAAGTGCTTGCGTAAGTGCTTTCGCGAATCTGGCCCCCTGGCTTCTTACAAGTCGGTGTTCGATCTCCGGTGATCCAATTGGTTGGGTACCGTTCCTTCCCCTCTGTCCTCATGTCCCAGCTCCTATCCTTTCATCAACTCGTTCTCATAGGCAAAGGTCAAATGACGTTCTAACATTTCTTGAACAGTGCTTCGAAGACCGACCTCTGACCGAACCACAACGCTGTAAATGGTTCACCCACGTATTTCAAATATAAATAATTGCCAACAATAGGTAAACACCTAACTTAACCTAACCTAATCTAACCTAACCTGACCTAACCTAATCTAACCTAACCTAACTTAATCTAACCTAACCTAACCTAATCTAACCTAACCTAATCTAACCTAATCTAACCTGAGCTACCTCTAATCTAACCTAACTTAATCTAACCTAATCTAACCTAACCTAATCTAACCTAACCTAATTTAACCTAACCTAACCTAATCTAGCCTAACCTAACCTAACCTAAACTAACCTAACCTAATCTAACATAACCTAATCTAACCTAACCTAATCTAACCTAACCTAACCTAACCTAACAATACATAGAACGTAAATATGTCATAATAATAATCTTGTATAAATGAGAAACTCATTTTGCTGTCCCCGTATCCGTCCCCAGTGCAGTCCCTCCTCCCGAGGGCCCCCAACGTCAAGAAACTGTCGTACTATGTCGTACTAAAGTGCCCTTATCCTAACCTACCAGAGGACCCAAAAGAGAAAACGGGGACAGTATATCACTCAGTGCCATACCGCCATCCCGACTTAGTGTTTTTCTCCTCATTAATTCCTTCTGGCTATGGTGTATATATATATATATATATATATATGTCGTACCTAGTAGCCAGAACTCACTTCTCAGCCTACTATTCAAGGCCCGATTTGCCTAATAAGCCAAGTTTTCCTGAATTAATATATTTACTATAATTTTTTTCTTATGAAATGATAAAGCTACCCTTTTCACTATGTATGAGGTCAATTTTTTTTTATTGGAGTTAAAATTAACGTAGATATATGACCGAACCTAACCAACCCTACCTAACCTAACCTATATATATAGGTAAGGTTAGGTTAGGTAGCCCAAAAAAGCTAGGTTAGGTTAGGTTAGGTAGGTTAGGCAGACGAAAAAGCCTTAATTCATGAAAACTTGGCTTATTAGGCAAATCGGGCCTTGCATAGTAGGCTGAGAAATGAGTTCTGGCTACTAGGTACGACATATATATATATATATATATATATATATATATATATATATATATATATATATATATATATATATGTCGTACCTAGTAGCCAGAACGCACTTATCAGCCTACTATGCAAGGCCCGATTTGCCTAATAAGCCAAGTTTTCATGAATTAATGTTTTTTCGACAACCTAACCTACCTAACCTAACCTAACCTAACTTTTTCCGCTACCTAACCTAACCTAACCTATGAAGATAGGTTAGGTTAGGTTAGGTAGGGTTGGTTAGGTTCGATCATATATCTACGTTAATTTTAACTCCAATAAAAAAAAATTGACCTCATACATAATGAAATGGGTTGCTTTATCATTTCATAAGAAAAAAATTTGAGAAAATATATTAATTCAGGAAAACTTGGCTTATTAGGCAAAAAGGGCCTTGCATAGTAGGCTGATAAGTGCGTTCTGGCTACTAGGTACGACATATATATATATATATGTCGTACCTAGTAGCCAGAACTCACTTCTCAGCCTACTATTCAAGGCCCGATTTGCCTAATAAGCCAAGTTTTCCTGAATTAATATATTTACTATAATTTTTTTCTTATGAAATGATAAAGCAACCCTTTTCTCTATGTATGATGTCAATTTCTTTTTATTGGAGTTAAAATTAACGTAGATATATGACCGAACCTAACCAACCCTACCTAACCTAACCTAACCTATATTTATAGGTAAGGTTAGGTTAGGTAGCCAAAAAAAGCTAGGTTAGGTTAGGTTAGGTAGGTTAGGTAGACGAAAAAACATTAATTCATGAAAACTTGGCTTATTAGGCAAATCGGGCCTTGAATAGTAGGCTGAAAAGTGAGTTCTGGCTACTAGGTACGACATATATATATATATATATATATATATATATATATATATATATATATATATATATATATATATATATATATATATATATATATATACGCCTGCATATACGAAGATAACATAAGCATTTTAATGCGACGATGTCACATATTGTGTAGGATATACCAGGAAGTATAAAATCACACCTGCTTCAAATATACGCATATAATAAATATATGCAAAATGCACATACACCTTATATGCAAATAACGATTTTTTTTTTCACAAGGATTTACCCTGTTTTGGTCGATCTGTGAACCCCATGACCTTATGGAAGCGATTGTTTACCTCACTGCGTTAGGATACTTCAGGCACTACGATGCACTAACTAACAATTATTGAAACATGAATTGATGAATTGAGTGAATAATATAATTTCTTATATACATCCTGACGCTTCTGTATTTATCGTCCCCTTTCAAAGTCCAAAACATAAAGCTATATGTGCTACAAGATCGCGCACACACACACACACACACACACACACACACCTCTCATGTGTCTCATATGTCTCACCTGTTGATTGACGGTTGAGAGGCGGGACCAAAGAGGCAGAGGTCAACCCCCGCAAACACAACTAGGTGAGTACACACACACACACACACACACACAAGTGAGGTCCAAGAGCTAAAGCTCGATCCTGCAGACACAAACAGTCGAGTACACATACACATAAACAATCATCCCTAAAGAAACCTCCCTGTACGGGTTACACTATTGAGGTGCCTCGACACCTTCCCCCTATGTATTCCCAAACAAAATCCTTCCTCTCCCAGAACAACACTTTTTGCTACGCTGATTTAGGGCTCTTCGCTTCCTCGTTCTATTTGTTGATGTCACACCCCTTCCCCCTCCCCGAGTGTCTTCAGGGGAGTGCGTCTCAAGGCAGTGACGTCGTCTCTGCTTGCCCTTGACCCTGGGGGAAGGGGGAGGGTTGTTGATCGGTCCCGCACTGACAACAGAATCGACTCTAAATGTCTACCACATGCCTAGTCCTTATGGACCGTATGTCGACGGTATGGTTGGCCTCGCCCCGCTCCCTGGTCGTATCGTATGTCGACTGTATGGTTGGGCCCTCTCCAGGTCGTACTGAATGTCGACTGTATGGTTGCCCCCCCCCTGGTCGTCGTACCGTATGTCGACTGTATGGTTGGGCCCTCTCCAGGTCGTACTGAATGTCGACTGTATGGTTGCCCTCCTCTGGTCGTCGTACCGTATGTCGACTGTATGGTTGGGCCCTCTCCAGGTCGTACTGAATGTCGACTGTATGGTTGCCCCCCCTGGTCGTCGTACCGTATGTCGACTGTATGGTTGCCCCCCCCCCCTTGGTCATATTGTATGTCGACTGTATGGTTGGCCCCTCCTCTCCCCCACCTGGTCGCACCGTATGTCGACTGCTTGTTATGGTAGGTGTTTAGGTTCTGTTGGCGCTTATTTGTAATTTTAGTACATGTGTGAAGCATTTGCAGCGTTGGAATTCGAGCAGGCATCGTCAGCAAAGCACTGTTTGAGAAATGTTCGAATGTCATCAATTGTGAGTTGTGCGTAAACCGTTTTTAATTCATAAATTAGGGGTCTGTTGGCTGGATTAAAGACAATTTAGCCTTTGTTGATGAGGACAGGCTGTAACGCGGGCTGCATTATTGCAACCAGTCCTCAGACCAGGTCTATTCCATCTAGCGGTCGACCCCACAGACGCATTCATCCCTTTTAACGTCCTGTTCATTCAAAATGGGAATTTTATCAAATCTAAATATATATATTTATATATTTATTGTTATATATTAGCATAGTGTCCATATTTAGGCATTGGTTAGATTAGGTTAGGTGTTTAGGTTCTGTTGGCGAATATTTGTATTTGTAGTACGTGGATGAAGCATTTACAGCGTTGTGGTTCGAACAAAATTCGTCAGTGAAGCACTTGTTTCGGAAGTGTTCGAACGTCAGCAGTTGTGAGTCGTGTGTGTAAACCGTTTATCATTCATAAACAGGGGGGGGGGGGGTTTGGCGGGTGCATGGAATAGAATTTGCCTTTTGTTTATGAGGACGGGATGACTATTGCGATGAAGATTTGAAGTAGATTCAGAAAGTTCTCGATCCTCGCACTCGCGAGATGTGCGGACTGGATGTCTGTAGTGTTGTAGGTTCGAGCTTCTTTGACCCTGTTGATCCCTGAACTGATGACATTTTCAAAGCTAATGTATCGCAGGCATTTGTGAGTGGAGCTGTTCATTACTTGTCTAGGAATAGCTCATGGGAAAATGTGGGTGGATCTACTGTGCTGGCAGCCTCGAATCATATCACTGGCAACACCAGACGTGAA